CTAGGTTCCCAGAGAAATTTGTCAGCGTGCCTGAACTCATCCCCGATTTTTCGAAGGCGGGGCGCGCGAGGAAACGAGGCCACGGGATGCCATCTCAAGAAGGCATTATTATACACTATCAAAACAAGGTTGGTTCGGTCATGGTAACGCAGACAGTGTACACAATGACTAGATTCAGCTGAAAACCTCATAACTAGTGAGAAACATAGTACACAGATCTACGTTTTTATTGTTGCTAGTTTTTCTACGTCAGGCGTTTGCAGTCTTCAGAAGTTTAAGAAATCAAGTTTATTTATCGGGATTTATACTGATTTTAGAACTCCTGTTCACAGTGGCTATTGGGGTGAGTAGATATAGATATTGTCAAACAATTATGGTTCTTGATTTTTATTTTTACTCGGTCCCTGCAGTTTTCCCATTCCAAATCTCCATACACAGTACTAGTAGATAAGATAGAGATTCAATGTTTGCTAGTTTATTAATTATCAACTAAACATGTGCGATGCGATGCGATGCGATGATGGTCAGTTTAGCCAAACCTATTTTTAGGCCGAATTAGACAGCCTACAACCAACTCATGAAACCTGCCCAATTCGTGTTTATAATATGGTGGTTATAACTCTCCAAGTGGTTCCAAACAAGATTGACCTTCAAGATATCTTCGATTAGCGTTTTGTGTGCGTACTTTGACGTAGTTTGTTTTATACGCCCAAAATAACAAATTCAAAAGCAATTTGAACTGGAATAATTAAAGATTATATTACCCTCAACAAAACCTGGAAATTTTAGGGCAAATCGCTTTTTCAAAATCACAAAATCTTTTAGTGGTTGACAACATTGTGCCCCGGGGGGGGACTCCCTAATATCAAAGGGCGGGGGTCCTCGGCGGAGATTGTGAAAATGACCCCTAAAAGGGACCTCTATTGTGAGATGATGGGCGTGCCAGTGCTGAAATTTCAACCCTAAAAGGGACCAATCAATAACAGGTCATTTTGTTTTGGTTTACCGATTTTATTTGTGTTTTTACACAATCATCGAACACCGTCAGCTCGTATTGAGTTTATCGCGAGTTAAATTATTGAGTTAATTTTCAAAAATTATTTTGTCGTACTGTAGCCCTTGCTAGAATATTGAGACAAACGAGGACTTTAAACATGGCCTCATCGTTTTGAGCATCACTTTGAAATGCTCAAATATCTCGAAGATTTATGTTAAGATTTTATTAAAACTTCGTCAATATGTCAATTATGTTATTATTATTTGTTTTTGTTTTGCATCGTTTATCCAAATGCCTTCATTTTTTTGGCGAACTAATTTATCAACAAGAATGATCGATAATCACTGTTACTTCTGTGCGGAAAATTTGAGTGCAATTGGATCAAAATTTGCGAGACGTACTTGGAGCCAGAAGTACATAACCATTATGTACTTCTGTTGGAGTTTAGAAATACGCGCTAAGCGCTATTATTACTATCGAAACACCTTAACTGAATTGATTCCTCTCCAAGTTTAAAGGGACACTGTCAATGGCACGCATGCGCGAGTAAATTTGAAAACATTACTGACCAATCTCGTACCCAGCGCCCTTGTCCCTCTTACTGCGCATGCTCGACGANTATCAACTAAACATGTGCGATGCGATGCGATGCGATGATGGTCAGTTTAGCCAAACCTATTTTTAGGCCGAATTAGACAGCCTACAACCAACTCATGAAACCTGCCCAATTCGTGTTTATAATATGGTGGTTATAACTCTCCAAGAGGTTCCAAACAAGATTGACCTTTAAAATATCTTCGATTAGCGTTTTGTGTGCGTACTTTGACGTAGTTTGTTTTATACGCCCAAAATAACAAATTCAAAAGCAATCTGAACTGGAAGATTATATTACCCTCAACAAAACCTGGAAATTTTAGGGCAAATCGCTTTTTCAAAATCACAAAATCTTTTAGTGGTTGACAACATTGTGCCCACCATGGTCAATTTGGCGCTTGAATATATTTAACCAATTGCCGGAAATGATGTAAAATTTGTCACGCTGTAAAATTAGCATAAAGCTGATATGTCAACAGACGCACACGAGTTGCTGGATATATAATCAGGAGGTCAGAAACTTTCAAAAATTATTTTGTCGTACTGTAGCCCTTGCGGAAGCTCAAGATCAAATATAGCTGGCAGTGTTTGTTGGGGATGGAACTTACTAGTTGCGTAAATGGCAATAACTTTTTTTGTAGTAAACTCATGGGCATGTGCCTTGGACAACAGTTGTACGAAAGCTTTTAAGCTATGGAAGTTTTTTCATTTTACATTCGAATATTGAGACAAACGAGGACTTTAAACATGGCCTCATCGTTTTGAGCAACAATTTGAAATGCTCAAATATCTCGAAGATTTAGGTTATTATTTATTAAAACTTCGTCAATATGTCAATTATGTTATTATTAGTTGTTTTTGTTTTGCATCGTTTATCCAAATGCCTTCATTTTTTTTGGCGAACTAATTTATCAACAAGAATTTGATCGATAATCACTGTTACTTCTGTGCGGAAAATTTGAGTGCAATTGGATCAAAATTTGCGAGACTTAGTTGGAGCCAGAAGTACATAACCATTATGTACTTCTGTTGGAGTTTAAAAATATGCGCTAAGCGCTATTATTACTATCGAAACACCTTAGCTGAATTGATTCCTCTCCAAGTTTAAAGGGACACTGTCAATGGCACGCATGCGCGATTAAACTTGAAAACATTACTGACATTAGGCTAGTTTCAAGTTTATGACTCCAAGTTGACGCGACATAAATCAGCTCGTAAACGTAAACAGATCTAGAATATTCCAAAGTGTGTCAAAAGCACCACAAAATGATTTACCTCGAAGGTAATACTTTCAAAGTCCGTTAGAGGCGAGACTGTTACTTAGCATGTCATCCATTGACTGCAGTTTGACAAAGTGTCCCTTTAAAAACTTCGTTCGGGCTTCCCGCCGTCTTATATATGGAATCTTTTTGCGCATGTGCGAGTAACTTTTAACTTTTGTGTTCAATCTCGTGCCCAGCGCCCTTGTCCCTCTTACTGCGCATGCTCGACGAGCCTGTGAGCCTGCGAGTAAGAGGGACAGTGGCGCTGGGTACGAGATTGGGCACTGTTTGTAAAATCTGAACTTCCGTAAAAAGTTGAAACGACAGTTGAAACCTAAAGGGTACAACGGCACGATAAGATAAATGGTCAGAACCTAGCACTATACAATCGCCATGATCATAGTATAAAAGGACCTACATTTGGC